GAGGAGTATAGAGACGATGTTGATTAAACTAATTCCGATATATTTATACATATATTTCACACACGTCTGAGGACAGATTACGTGTCAAACAAATCATGGTACAATAATCTTTATAAAGAAAAATGCTCCATGATTTGCATGTGGGCCGAATACTGCCACGCTACCCAGGCCAAGACAGGTTGATTTTCTTGAGGAATCCACAACCGGAGCCTTCGGCTAACCAAAGCTCGACCCGCAATGCAGCGGGATGGAGTGTGAACACCGCAATCCCTTGGGGGTCGGTCCAGTTCATCTGATCATACGTCCTTTGGATGGGGTCAAACGTCCAAGGTGCCCAATACACCTCAATGCCCGATCGAGCTGGTGACCACTGCCACAACTGGGGAGGTCTGGTTCAGAAGCCTGAACCTGATTGGGTTGAAATCGGGGTTTTCAATCGACTCCCCTAGATGAACAATCAGTGGTCCACCAACCTGGTTATAACCCCGGATGTTGGCTTTCGTTCTCTCACTTTGGTGAGAAAACACCGCGACGAGAAGGCAGTGAGTAAGGCTTCCTCAGCAGAGGCTAGTTGAGACGCTTGGTCGTATGGGAGCAACTACTGCCGGCAGCCGATCCACGAAGTTCAGCTTCCCGTATTAGCGTACAATTGCTAACTCGTTTACACTTTGCAGTATTTTCTAAATTATTTGTACGGAGATTTCGTAATGGGAATTACAGACCTCTTACTTATTCTTCTTATGATAAGTGTTGAATAATCTTACGCAGACCTGTGAATTGAGATTTACGTTACTATTGCATTATGTAACGAAAATCATGGACGGCCATCAATTAGCAACTACGTATTGCAATATGTAGGCGAGAATGTTTCGCAATGGGACAACTTTGGGTGCAACTTACCAAACGGCGGTGCACCGCACGATGCACTTGCTGAAGACGCTCACGATAGGCTGCTTCTAGCTGTAAATCCACATTTTCTTCTTTTGCTTTGATTAGATCGTTGACTGCCGTTGACCTAGCTATCTCTTCATCCGCAGTGGCTATCGTTTTATCCAAATTTCCGATCAGAGCCTCCATGGGCTTGCGGTAACGAACTCGCTCTAATTCCTGGAAAATGTACCACAAGCAACTTTGGACAAACCTCTACATCAGCGTCCAATCGTTTACTGACCATTGGTCCAAATCTCTTTATAAGCCAAGTCATTACGGTCACAAAAACGCCAAGTTCAACGAAATGCGGGTCAACTACCCAAATCTCCTTGCTCAGAAGAAACATGGTCGAACCGAATAAGAACAAGTACGGTCCTGAAGAAATAAAGTGACCAGATTATTACTTACCTGTTACGCCAGTTTTGGGGTAAAGTGCCTGGAACCACGAGTCCGGCAAAAAACCAAGGCGAACTTTGGGATGAGTAAGTGGATATTTCACCGTCGGGAAATTTATCATGTCACGCTCCTTGCCGTAATAAATTTCATCACACTTGGCCCAACGGTCAACAGCTTCATCCACATGCTAATAATTACGACAATAAAGGGAGGCTAAATTACCTGGGAATATTTTGAGGCAACATTTTCAGCTTTCTTAAGATAGTCGGAAACTGGATTTGGTTGTGGGGCTGTGGAAGCTCCACGAGCCAATGGAAGGACAAAATTTGTGATTTGTTTGATTCGAAATTGTTTCAGAACTGCCAATATAGTGAACTTTTAGCACTCAACCTACCTAACGCAGAAGAGGAGAGTGCCATTTTACATGTGGCGGCGACTTCGAGAATGGCGCCAGTGGTCAGTTCAGTCCAGTTTAGTTAGTCAGTCAGTCAG